GAAATTAAAGTTCGTTGTTTTTTTTTTTTTTTTTATTTTTTTTTTTTTTTGGGGGTGTAGGGAAGGAACAAAAGTGGGAGAAGGAAAGTAGAGAAGACAAGAAATGGGAAGTATGGGAGCGAGTAAGATGTGGAAGAAAGAGGAAGCAGAAGAAATAAGATTAAACCTCGTGTCTGGAGCATGAAAGGAGGGGAGCAGGAAAGTGATAAAGGAGAGGAAGGAAATAAAGAAAACTGAAATGGAGAGGAAGGAGGAAAGATAAAAACAAAGAAAATTCAAGACAAAGAACATTGAAGAAACTGGATTTCCGACAAAGAAAGGGAGAGATTACATGCGAGTGTGAGAAAAGAAAAAAGAGAAAATTACGAATTCTCTCAGCCCGAGATGAGATAGAAAAGGTGAGATTTATTCCCTCCTGGAAACGGCGCTTCCATTGTGGCTTCGGAGAGGGTTCAAGATTCCTTTCTTTTTTCCTTTTTGTGTTACTTTCTTCAGTCCTTCCTCTTTGAAAGCCTCGCTTCCACCTTTTCTTTGGTCTAATTATGCATTATGTCCATGTATCTCTTCGTCGTCCTTATCGGCTTATCTCCCTTTATCTCTTATTATTGTTTATCTATTTGTGTGTGTATTGTTATTCTCTCAAGCCAGCGCCTTTTGGTCATTGTTAACTACTGCTGTTTCTCTTTCGTTTGCTTTTCTCTCTTTTCACCTTTTCTCCAGCATTCCTCCTCCTCCTCCCCCCCCATCCTCCCACCCTTCACCTCATCTCCCTTTCCCCATTCACCATCCTTCTCTCCCCCTCTCCTCCCTGCTCCCTTACTCCCTAACTTTTCCTCCCCGCCCCTCACTAACCCTTTGCTCCCCTTCCCCCTCCCTTAGTCCCTTCCCTCCTTCCCCTCCTTCACCAACCCTTTCCCGTCCACTCCTTTCCTTCCCTTCACCCTTCCTTCCCTCCTCCCTTTCCTTTCCCTTCTCCCTTCCTCCCTCCTTTCTCCTTCCCTTCTCTCTTCCCTTCCCTCCTCCCTCCCTCCTTTCCCTTCCTCCCTCCTTTTCCTTTCCCTTTCCCTTTCCCTCCCTCCCCCTCCCTCCCTTTTCCCTCCTCCCCCTCCCTTTCCCTTTTCCCCCCCCTTCCTCCCTCCCTCCCTTTCCCTTCCCCTCCTCCCTCCCTCCTTTCCCTTTCCCTTCCTTCCCTCCCTCCCTCCCTCCTTCCCTCCCCCTCCTTTCCTTTCCCTTCCACCCTTCCCCTTCCCTCTCCCTTCCCCCCCTTTCCCTTTCCCCCTCCCCTTTCCCCCTTCCCCCTTCCTCCCCCCTCCCTCCCTTCCCTCCAGCCCCTCCCAACCCCTCCCCCTGCCACCCCTTCCCCTCGTCTGGGAAATGTTTCACACGTACCCCTTCTTCCCCTCTCGAGTTTCTCTCTCCGCCGCGAGGGTCGCTGGCTCCTCTCGCTCCCCGGGGCCGCGATCCGAGGGGACGCCGTGGGAACCGAGGGGGAGGCCACGGGACGTTCACTCTATGGCAACCGGCGTGAGAGGCGGAATTAGCTTGCCAAAAGTGGAGGCGGTTTGTGCAATGACCCGGGGATTCTTTAATTCCGTGATCCTTTCCCCTCTCCCCCGGCCCTCCCACCTCCCTCTCCCTGCCCTCTTTTACCCCTATCTTACCTTCCTTCCCCCCTTCTTCCTTTCCTTCCCCCAATTACCCCCTCTCATCCGCTCTCCATCCATCTCCTCGGCGTAGTCTCCACCATCCCCCTTTCCTTCTCCCCCTCCCTCTCCCCTCCCCCCCCCTCCCCTCCTCTCCCGTCCTACGCGCTTAGCGGTGCATGTGATGCCTCTTTTCAGTTCACTGTTGCTTGCTATTATTATTGTTGCTGTTGTTGTTGTTGTTGCTATTATTATATTATTGTTGTTGTTGTTGTTGCTATTATTATTGTTGTTGTTGCTATTATTGTTGTTGTTGTTGCTATTGTTGTTGTTGTTGCTATTATTATTGTTGTTGTTGCTATTATTGTTGTTGTTGTTGTTGTTGTTTATGGTGTTATCATTATCATTATTATTATAAAGTATCGTGATTATCAATATTTTGTTGCTTTTACAGTTGCTGCTCTTGTTCTCATAATTAGCCCTTGCTTCTCATTATGGCGTTTTGTCCTCGAGCGAAACAACCTCAAGTTCTCACAGAGACTCGAGTCCGATAACGACGCACAACCTCCTTTTACGTAATTTTATCCAGGTTCTCTCTGGCTCCCTTCGCGTGACGTCATCGAAGGCTTGTTGCGTTCTCACTTTCTCTGCCTCATTCCATATGGTCTGCTCGCGTGTCATACAATACGTCATGTTTGTAATTAAAAAAGTACGGGCGTCGCAGGAGGCAGCCAGACGGGCGAGGGCGTCGCCGGCTCACTTTCTCTCTCGGCGACGAACAGAAGTGTCTGCTGTAGGTGCTCGTGTGGCCGTAAGGGTGTAGGTGTATGCACAAGTGTACAAATGCAAGCAGGCATTCTGACTTGTATATCCCAAAGCTTAAAGTCACTTACGTTGGGATACACAGTGTCATTCGGAAAAATAGTGTACAAAAAATGAATTTCAAATTATGTATATATGAACATGTGTATGTGCACATATATGCATACACGTATGTCTTCCTCGTTAATTAACCTTCCCAGGTGATGCGACCAAGGAAGAAGATTAGGTGCCCCCTCTCTGCTTCCTCTTCGTCCCCCTCCTTCTTTTCTCCTCTTCGTCCCCCTCCTTTTCTCCTCTCCTTCCCTTCTTCGTCTCCTTGCTTCATCTCATCATCCCATTCTTCCTCTATTTTTTTTCCTCCTCCTCCACCACCACCACCGCCTCCTCCTCATACTCTTCTTCTTCTTCCTCCTACTCCTCCATCACCACCACTCCTCCTCCTCCTCCTATTCCTCTTCCTCCTTCCTCTATTCCTCTTTCTCCTCCTCCTCCTTCCTCTTCCTCCTCCTCCTCCTCTATTCCTCTTCCTCTTCCTCTTCCTTTCCTCCTCCACCACCACCACCTCCTCCTCCACCACCACCACCACCACCTCCTCCTCCATCTCCTTCTCCTCCTCCACCACCACGCTTCCTCCTCCTCTTCTTCTTCCTCCTCTCCTCCTCCTCCTCCTCCTCTTTTACTTCCTCCTCCTCCTCCTCGCCCTCCATGCTCCACTTTCTTCCTCTATCTCTCCACCTTCTTCAAATCCTTCACCTTTTTCTTCTCTGCCTCCGATTCGTCATCTTCTCTCCCTCCCTCCCTCCCTTCCTTACTTCCTCCTCCGCACTTTTAATGAAAGAAAATATGAATTATTAGAGAGAGAACAGACGGGAAAGAGTAGAAGAATAGGATAAAGAAGAGAAGAGAATAAGATTGAGTTCGCCGAGATAAGAATTGGAATCACAAGAAAGGAAAGAGAAAATCAAGGCGTGTTGGTTAACCACTAAAGAGGCGAAAATGGACGGAAACGAACGAATAGTTATTGAGATCGTGAATAAAATTTCCAAACGATATTTCTCAAGGAAATCGGCGATGTCTTGAGCCTTCGACTGAGGCGACACGCTCCCAAAAGCCAAAGGTTCCTGAAGGATCTGCACTTAAGCGCTGCCGGCAGTTCCTGGGTCGCTCCCACGTACATGCGCGCACACGTGGTGACACAGAGCGGCAGGTTGACACGCACGCACACAAGCCACTGCCCTTGTATATGCACATGGATACGATTAATGTGGATACATACACGTGTGCGCTCATAAGGTAATGCACCTCGGAATGTGGCGCTGACAGGATATACACTAATGCTTGGTCTTAAGCAAATGCACTTGCATAAGCATGTGAACACGACAGACTTGGAACCATTTACGCAAGCAGCGCAATTGCACATACCATCTCTGTTGCTCATCCGCATGCATTATACCTCACAACACACAAACAAACAAACAAACAAATAAGGTAAATGAGCGCAGAGGAAAATAGACCGAAGAGCGCATGAAGTCGCACTCGCAGCCTCGTTCGGATCCCGCGCACAGCCGCCGCGCCTCTCTCCCTCTCCTTCCTCCCTCCCTCCCTCCCTCCCTCCCTCCCTCTCCCTCCCTCCCTCCCTCCCTCCCTCTCTCCCCTCTCTCTCTCTCTCTCTCTCTCTCTCTCTTCTCTCTCTCTCTCTCTCTCTCCTCTCTCTCTCTCTCTCTCTCTCTCCTCTCTCTCTCTCCTCTCTCCCTCCCTCCCTCCCTCCCTCCCTCCCTCCCTCGCAAGCACGGACTTTTGCACAACGAGGCGACAGCGATAAGCAAACCTGACCTGAGTTGGCGTGAGCGACTCCCTCTGGCCGGGCGACCTCCGGGTGCGTGGGGGCGGCCAGGTCACCGGGGGGGGGAGGGGGGGGGATAGAGGAGGGACGTTGGTAGGGGGGAAGGAGGGAAGGAAGAGGGAAAGAAGGGAGGGAAGGGGAGATAAGGAGAGAAAGGAGGAACAAAGGAAAGAAGGAAAGGAAGCGATGAAGGGGATGGAAGGAGAGGAAGAAAAAAAGTGAGAAAGAGAGGGATAAGGGAAGGAAAGAAGAGGGAAGTGGAGCGAGGGAAGAGATGAAAAGAAGGAATGAAGATGAAAATCAAAGCAAAAAACAATAAACAGCAAATGTAGTAAACAAAATGTTGTCATTTCTCTTTTTCACAATGCAAGATTTTGGCAACAACTCTTGCATTTCTTCATGTTTGTCCTCATGTCTGTCTCGGAGTTTATTTGTTATTGCTCTTTTAATGGCGTTCTTCGAGCTGAAATGGGCTTCTCCGCGCGTGCTTACGAATGGGAGATACCGAAAGAAATGTGGACGAAATGGAAGAAGAAGGAGAAGGAGGAGACCGCAGGAAATAAGGAGGATGAGGAGAAGGCGAAGCGAACAGAACGCACTCCATTAATCCCCCGAAATATACTTCGTTTTTCGGATTCTCTCTCTTTGTAAACGTTTATTTTCGTTATACCTTATATTATATATTTTTAAAC